AGAGACAACTTGCATGAGATGATAGCAAGCTTCGATAACAAAATCGCCTATCAGTCAACAGTTAAAAAAATAAGTTATCGGTCACAATTAAAGCTTGTGCCTCTCATAGCACGAAAGTTTGGGGCAATCGATTGCGCCATGAACGTATTTCTCGATCATATTTACCAATTTATGATGCAACCTAAATAAAACAAATTTTCCTTTAACCAAATTATGGTGCAATTAGAAACTTAGTACAGTATTGGTTAAACATTTACCGAGTTTTTTTACAGTGTGACAACAATTATTTAAATATTGGTTTTAATGATTATTTTTGAAATTGATGCAACTAAAAGAAGAAAAAAACTCAACCTTTTAACGTCTTCATCCATGTACAGTTAATGCAATTTGAAATGGATATAAATACAGTGAAACCTGTGAAATATATATATATATATATATATAATTTTATTATTGTTATTGTTATTATTATTGATATTCTTATTGCTATTATTATTATTATTTTACAAATTTTATGTCAATTTAAATAATGAGCGAATTTTAGAAATGTTATTTAAATGTAAAATCCCGTGTTTTCGTTGAGTCGAACTTATTTTTTAAGAGAAGTTCTAAGTCCAAAAAAATAAAATTTTCTTTTTTCCGCCGTATATTTCTTCTTCATAGCTAGACACATCTCTCTAAAGTGTGTACATAAACTTCAATTCCAGCAGTTGGCATTGTCTCGCAAAACAAGATAAAAACGATAACTTTGATATTTATTTCTCTTTTTCAAAGCGTATATCTCGGACTGTCAGCAAACGCCTCTCCAGAGTTAGATTTAACTTCGCGGAGACATTTTCTTGGATACATTCTTATCTTATTTCTTGTTTGGAATTCTTTTGTTCGAACAGTCACGCATGTTAACAGAAAAAAATATTTTTTTTTCATCTCTTATATTTTTCAATCTTTTGAATTTGTATATATTATCAATAAATCCAGGCTTTGTATTCAATGTACAAAATTGACCGAAATATAGAATGATAAATCAAATTGTTTCATTGCTTTGGCTACAAACTTCAGAATGGTAAATCGGCCAAATATGAAATATGATTATTTCATAGGTTTAGCAGGTATTATATCAATTTGTATATATTATCAGTAAAATAGTGAAACCGGCTTTGTATTCGATGCACAAAATCGACGGGCAAAATATGGAATAATAGAAAAATTCTTACATTGCTTAGGCTACATGATTCATAATAGTAAACAGACTAAATATGAAATATAACAATTGCTTAATAAGGGTTATATCAATTTGCATTTATTATCAGTGAATTCGTATATATTATCAGTAAAGTAGTAAACCAGGCTTAGTAATCAATGCTCAAAATTGACCGTCAAAACATGGAATGATGATAGAACAATTCTAACATTGCTTAGGCAAATCAATTCAAAATGGTAAAGCAATTAAATATGAAATATGGTTATTTTAAGCATTTGTTAAGAGTAGTTACGTTAATCTCATTATGCATCAGGAAATAACTTTTTTTTATTTTGTTCTCTTTTATAAGAAAGGCATAAAATAATAGTTATCCTCGTGCCTTATTATTTTATTTTATTTTATAACCGTCGTTGAGCAGTCGACCCAATTTAGGGTTTACGATTGCAAATGTTCATCTCCGTAGCCTTGTAAATTTGAACCCAATCCAGAAGACAAAGGAGCTCCTGAATCAAGTATTGGGAGAAATTAGTCTTCGTTAAGGACTTTTTGATCCAACTAACCCACATTTGCGTTACATGTCGAAGAAAACTGCGGAAACCTTTCGCAGTTAGCGCAACGGCAAGGAGACTCTAACCCATTATCCGTCTGCTGAGGATATTTTAAGTCTGCACTGTGGTCGGTGAGAGCCGGGTGCGGAATTCAAATTGACCAGCTATCGCTGGGATCGAACCCGGTTCGAGTCACTTAATTGGGAGGCGAGGTCTCTATCCCTGGAGCCACCACGGTTCTCCTGCCTTATTAATAAAAGCCGTCTTCATTAAAATAATAACAAGCACGGAATGTGCGGAACATTATCCGGTGTACCCTTCGCTGATGGTTTTGTAAGGCTAAGAGCCATTGACCAGTAATCCTTAGAGTAACGTTTGTAATGCAAAAAATCATCGCCCTGCATTCTTTACGCTGATATTTTTTAGAAGGATATCATTAATAATAACCAAAGAAATTTATTAATATAAAATACAATTAAACAGGACCAAACAAATTATTTAAACAGGACTAAGATCTCCATGATCTACCAAGGGGTACAATTATGCTTTGCGTAAAGAATCACTGAGGCTGTAATATATGTCCTTAACTTATTAATTATTATTAGGCATAAATATGTGTTATTAATATTAAAGTTAATATAAAATTTAAGCAGGGCGAAGATCTCTATGATCAGCCAATTATGTACAATCAAGTACAATCATGCTTTGCGTAAAGAGTCATACTTAGGAGGCAGTGATATATGTTATTAACTTATTAATTATTATCAGGCATAAATATATGTTATTAACGTTAAAGTTAATATCGAAACAAGACATAGTTTTCCACGCGTAGTTTAATTTCATTTACAACTTGATAAAATTAAGAAATATTGTTTTCTATTTCCCTAAACTCGTGGATCTGAATTTTTGCCTTTCCTGAGTGAGATACAAGATGAAAAGCGAATTTCCCGGAATAGAAGGAGGATTCCCATATCTCATGTTGGTTGCATAACCGAGCATTACATTCGACCGACTGGTTAGTAAAAATGCATCTGCTTATAGCCCTGTAGAAAAGAGAAGTTGTCGGGTTGGTAATCTCCTCATACTGCGGTAGCGACATCTATTGATTAAAATAAGAAGCGCTACCAAACAACTACTCTTACTTACACTTCAGCCGGAAAGAAGTGAATGCAAAAGTCGGCTCTTGTTTTCTTGTAGATTTAAATAATAATATTAAATTAAATATTTTGTACCACTACAAAGTTTTAAAATTTTATACATTGTGGTAAAAATTCAGTTCAATAAACCAATAAGCACCAACATTCAGTGTAAAGAAAATGGGTGCAGACTCTGATAATGGACATAGATTAAGAATAAATATTTACACTTTGGAATAACTTCTCGTTGGGCTAGAAAATGAAAAAAAGAAGCCTTTTTAAGAAATAAAAAAAAAATTCTTTTTTGTGATATTTAATTAAGACAATGGAGATCTGAAAAGCTATTTCAAAATATAAATGTAAGTGCAGAATTTAAGCTGTAACGTATTTCATTTGCATGTTTTATGAATTAAAAGTTTTAAGTTTTATTACCTTAAAGTATTTATAATGAAATCAATAACTTTAATTAGCTAGCGCAGCTTAGTACTGTCACATGGCTTTTTAGAAAATATTTCTTTTTTATTACGACAGTTCCTTAAGTAATTTAATGATGAAAGAATTAATATTAAATTAATATTAAATTAAAATTATTTTAAATTAACTATAATTATTTTAAAAGTTGGGG